ACTGAGAAATATATTATATGTTATGCTGTCATTTAGTAGTAATTATACCAGTACAAAGCTCTGGGGGGTTTCATTTTTTCCCCAGAAATATTTTATGTGTCACTGACAGTAACAGATTAATAAAAAGTATTGATTAGTGAAAAGTGACTTACTGTCAGCCGCCGATCAAGGTAAAAACTGGTTCTCAGACTCAACCTGAAATTATGGAAAAACATTTATTTTAGAATAAAATCAATGACGTGTTATCAGACAATTTTAACATGCACTTTTTCTACCTGTGTGATGTTGGGACAGTATAGGATCTCTCTTCCACCTGATGATAACAACGATCAGATAGCTTTTATGTTGTTGCAATAACCCAACGGCCAAATGCTCTATGAATTTTGAGAGTGAGGCATTTTTCAGAGGTATGCGCGCAGCGATGGAACTTAAGGATTTTGTTAACTAGCCAGCCGGGCTAGTAGATTGTGATTTCACTCTAGCCCGGGTAACATTCAGGTCCAAAATCTGGGCCGTGCGATGTAAAAAAAAATGTGACAGGCCTGACAGGCTAGTTCGGCACATTTTCTACTAGCTGAACAGCGCTAGCCTCAGGCTAAGGGGTTAGATTCATTTCCATCCCAGTATGCACGGCACCCAAAACATGACAAACTTTGTAAATTGTTTGCAAAATCAAACATTATGCATGTGAAGTCAACACCAAAAATACTGCAGTTCAAAATAAACACTTGGACCGGTATTGAATTGGCCTCTTAAAATTCTCTATGAATACAATTTGAGATGTAATTTTAACTGAGTGCCGAAAAGCGCGTAAGTAAACAAACTTTTCGGTATGAATACCTTTCAGCGTCAGTATCAGGATGGAGCAGAAGCTGGAAATGGACAGAGACTCAGAAAATGGAGGTCATGTAAGGGGTTGCAGAAATATCCTTGCTTGAGGCACAGTTCAGCAATAATTTTTCCTCTAGATCAAATAAATAGAGAAAGACCAATAGAGGGACACAGGAAGACTAGAGAAATGGATCCTCTTAAAATCCGACTGGGGTCAAAAGGTCAAAAATCACCAGAGTTGGACGTTGTAATAAAGCAAACGTCAGTCCTATAGACAGTAGACTGCCCTGGGGGTCAACTCTAGAGACAAACGCAGACAGGAGGACTTTAATACGGGAAGTCTTTTCAAAGCCCCCCTTGTTTTTTTAAAAGTATAAACAGAACTAAGCCAGCAGATAGTGATATGTATAGAACCCACAGGGTTTTATCTGGGTTGTTGCCAGATGTGCAATTGGGTCACCAGCATCAGCAAGGATGCATCTGTTCCCACACGTAATGACACAGTACAATATAAAACCATCTTTACAGCATTGCAACCTGTGACCATGTAGTAACTAATTTCAAACTTAGACAAGGACAGACATGCAGACTTACCATTCATCCCTTCAGCGTAATCACGGCACAGCATTGCTCTGCTACGTTAGTCTGTACGTATGTGTGAGAGAGAGGGAGTTTCGTCGGAGCGGTTATGGGCCACCGACGCTCTCTCAAAACCTCTGATCTCACCTCTGTGTGTGTCTGAAAAAGAAAGGGAGAGACAGAGAGAGACAGAAACAGCGAAAGGGAGGGAGGGAGGGAGGGAGGGAGGGAGGGAGAGTAAGAGATAGAGAAAAGAGAGACAGCCCTCTGATCTATCACACACCTCGTCATTGCGATCCTGGAACAAAACGGCACGAACACACACACACACACAGATGGAGAAAAACCCACCGCATAGCAGAGGGCCCAGACCTCGAACACAGCTCTCAGTTTGACACAGCAACATCTGGCCTTGTCTCTCTCTCTCCTCACACACAGCTCTCAGTTTGACACAGCAACATCTGGCCTTGTCTCTCTCTCTCCTCACACACAGCTCTCAGTTTGACACAGCAACATCTGGCCTTGTCTCTCTCTCTCCTCACACACAGCTCTCAGTTTGACATTTACTTGACTGTTATCAACATCTTTATTACAATATTAAGAGAATACTTCTCTTAGAGTGCACTCACACTATATATATATATATAAAAGTAAAGCAATGTAGAGGTTTGTACAGACATTTACATTTGCATTTTAGTCATTTAGCAGACGCTCTTATCCAGAGCGACTTACAGTTAGTGAGTGCATACATTATTTACTTTTTATTTTTCATACTTTATTTATTTTTCATTTTTCATACAGCTACATCATCATATCGTCCAAAATACACTCAGTGGTGTAAAGTACTTTAGTAAAAATACTTTAACGTACTACTTACTTATTTTCTTGAGGTATCTGTACTTTACTAGTTATATTTTGGACAACTTTTACTCCACTACATTCCTAAAGAAAATAATGTACTTTTTAATCCACACATTTTCCCTGACACCCAAAAGTACTTGTTATATTTGTAATGCTTCACAGGACAGAAAATTGTCAAATTCACACACTTATCAAGAGAACATCCCTGGTCATCCCTACTGCCTCTGATCTGGCGGACTCACTAAACACAAATGCTTTGTTTGTAAATGATGTCTGAGTGTTGGAGTGTGCCCCTGGCTATCCGTCAATAGAAAATAAAAAATAATAATTGTGCATCTGGTTTGTTTAATATAAGGAATATTAAATTATTCATACTTATACTTTTGATACTTAAGTATATTTTAGCAATTACATTTACTTTTGATACTTAAGTATTTTTTAAAAACCAAATACTTTGACTTTTACTCAAGTAGTATTTCACTGGGTGACTTTCACTTTTACTAGAGTCATTTTCTATTAAGGTATCTTTACTTTTAGTCAAGTATGACAGTTGGGCACTTTTCTCCACCACTGACTACACTATGTGGTAACAGTTGGGGTTCGAGTAAATGTGAATCTATCGATGAAAGATGGTGAGGATGAAGCGACCAACGATGATGTTTGAAATGCGTGACATGGGTGACAGTAAGAACACGGACTGTGCATCGTGGCTCGGAGGGCGGTTGGTTTCAGGCCCGACGGGGACGGGGTGCTCATGTGGTGGGCGATCTGGTTCCCGGTATCTACTCACCCCCTGACGGCAAGGTATTGAGAAATAAACTACATTCTGGAAAAACTCTTAAAACATTTATAGTATACTGTTTTTCGGACAGGTATGAAATAAACTACAGGTAAAATACAACAGTATTTTGATTTGGTTTATACAGATTTAATGGCCAAGAAAATAGTCAAAGGTGCAGAAGATCTATACATTAAGCGACGAGAGCATTAGAGTCTACAGCTGGAAGACGCACGCCTCCACATAACTACAACCTCTTCAACCTTTCACTTATCTAGTGCGCCACACTGACACAAACGCAATGCACACGAGTTAAAATGACAATTAAGAGGTGTTTTTCCCCATTTAGCCTAACCCGGGATTAAAAAGCAATTCAATGGAATAGGCTTCTTAGTCCAGGCCATGACTGTGTCTGGGAAAACAAGCATCACAGTAAAATAACTGAAAAAAGTCAATATGATAAAGAATCCCAACAGTATTATATTTAATTTACAGTAGATATTTTACCAGATTAAAATGTTAGTCATGATTTCATTTACAGTAGATATTTTACCAGATTAAAATGTTAGTCATGATTTCATTTACAGTAGATATTTTACCAGATTAAAATGTTAGTCATGATATTTCATTTACAGCAGATATATTACCAGATTCAAATAGTCGTATTTCATTTACAGTAAATATCTTACCATATTCAAATATTATAGTCATTATATCTCATTTACAGTAGATATTTTACCAGATATTAAAATATATAGTCAAAATAGACAAAGGGAAAATGATGTTGTTTTTGAAACTCAATTCAGAACTCCTGGCTAAAATGATACAAAACCTCTAATTTCACTTTAAACGAATACATTCAATTGATGTAGGGGGGGGGGGGGGGGGGGGGTAAACCCTAACCCTGGTAGATGGTGTTGACGGTAACATGAACCGCAGGTTAACGGGACTCGCCTACGTGTGGCTTTGGGAAAGTTCACGCACAACATGACTGCATGCACGGCACTGAATCACCCACACGACTGCAAACACAGGCCTGAAACATGACGGCATGTATTGAACACACACGCAATTGCGTGTGTCCAGGAGTGTGAACATATATCATAGTACACGGCATCAATTGGAATGAACACACACACACACAGCGAGATGTATTTATAACTTCTAACCACCTGTGTGGAGGTGAGACAGGGTCATGAACCAGCCCAAAGCGTTTGACATTATCACACCTGTAAATTTCCTGCTCTTAACGGAAAGCATGTGGCATTAGGCCAACATGACACACACACACATTCTCGAAATAGAACCTAAGTAGTACCACACACATTCTCTAAATAGACGATGTATTAACCACACGCAATTCTTAAAAGAACTAAGTAAGTACCACACGCATCAATTGAATGACCACACACCATCAACACGAGAATGTATTTTAACTCTAACCACCTGTGGAGTGAGAACAGGGTCACACCATCCCAAAGACTACAGTATCACACACATCTTTCCTAGCTTGTACCGAAGCCATGTGCATATAGACCAACATCACACACACACATTCTCGAAATAGAACCTAAGTAGTACCACACACATTCTCTAAAATAGAACCTAAGTAGTACCACACACATTCTCTAAAATAGAACCTAAGTAGTACCACACACATTCTCTAAAATAGAACCTAAGTAGTACCACACACATTCTCTAAAATAGAACCTAAGTAGTACCACACACATTCTCTAAAATAGAACCTAAGTAGTACCACACACATTCTCTAAAATAGAACCTAAGTAGTACCACACACATTCTCTAAAATAGAACCTAAGTAGTACCACACACATTCTCTAAAATAGAACCTAAGTAGTACCACACACACACAAGCTGTACGCAGAAATATGGAACTCTGAAGCATCTAGAACACACAACATTCTGTGTATCAAAAGAAGGACAGAGACGCTATTTGATTGTCACCAGGCAATATAACGCAGGGCTTTTTATTTGATTCCTTTCAACTTTTTAGTCAGAACAACATCTAGCAGTAGGAAGCTAGCAATACTATCTCCTCCAATACTAGCATTTGAATGACAATTATATTCCACTGGATGGAATGGACAGATTGAAAATTAACCGTTTTTAAATTCAAACTGACATGTTCCCCTCTCCAAACAGTTCAACACAACATGTCATAAACAAATTGAAAAAATATGGAACTAAAAAGTTCCTTTTAAAAAGTTTTCAAACAATGGCCAACAAAAACATTTCATCAAATCTGAACTGGAATGTTTTAACAGTTGGAAATACTCAACCTCAATACCGACCTAAGCACTGGCTAAAAACGACTGTTTCATACTGTATATTCCTTCTGCTAGTTGTCTGTGGTCGAAAACATCCTCTGCATTCTCCCTCCGCCCACGGTCTAAAAGTTAGGTCTATTAGTTTCTTGTTCTGGCCTGTTGTAGCCCTGGTCTCTGCTCTAGCCCTTCCTAAGCGAAGGGGAATGTCAGTAGAACAGCATGTCCTGGTCCCAGCAGCAGTTTATCCAGCGAGACAGAGCTGTCTGCAGCCAGGTTCTCAGGGTCCGTACTCAGCTTGACTTTAGCCTGCTCCGGGAGACTCAGGTCTGGGAAGAGGAGGAGGGGAAATCCTGTCAGTATTTTAACGTATATATTTATTTTTTAAATCATGTTTTGACTTCTCATATGTTGCTGCTTGACCATTTATTGCTTTTCAGGCTATACTCTGGTCTCGTTGGAAAATACGTCTCAATGTGATCTCCCGAATAAATAACGCATATTCAAATGAATAAATACCTGGGTAGTTGAGGACCATGGTTAGGGTGGCGGAGCCCCAGTTGACGGCCGTCACGTATCTCTCGCTCTGGTCCCACAGACGCAGGAAAGCGAGGGATGAGGAGGAAGAGTGGAGGGGAAGTAGTCTCCGTGGAGGAGGGAACGTTCCTTACCCCTCAGGTCAGAGAGGGTCCTAAACCACGAACGACAGGTCAGACGATGAGTTTTCTGGGCCTGGAGAGGAGGGAGGAGAGAGAGATTAGATTTGTTTGATTGGGATCCCCATTGGCAGACTCCAACGGCGACAGCTAGTCTTACTGGGGTCCGACAGATAACAAAGAAAATACTTTACAATTTACATACATTTAAAAACATTAACATGTAGTGTGTGCATCTATCAGTTCCACATACATGTCAGTACATACACACAACAAGTAGGTCACATGGGGGGAGAGGCGTTGTGCCGTGAGGCGTTGCTTTAATAGTTTTTTATAAAACCAGGTTTGCTGTTCACTTGCACTATGTAAGATGGAAGGGAGTTCCATGCACTCATGGCTCTGTATAATACTGTAAGTTTCCTTGAATTTGTTCTGGACCTGGGGACTGAAAATACCCCTGGTGGCATGTCTGGTGGGGTAAGTGTGTCTGTGTCAGTGTTGAGAGTGAGAGAGGGGGAGGGGGGGGGGGGGGGGGGGGGGGGGGGGGGGTGGGGGGGGTGTGGGGGTGGAGGTTTTTTTTTTCCTTCTTATCCTCTTCTGTTCTTTGTTCTAGTGTGCTGTGGTGGTAGAGGCGTCCGATCGTGCGTCGCGTAGCGAGAGAGGGAGTAAGCGAGAGAGATCAACCACATTACTTTAATGACTGGGTGATATAAGTATGCTGTTAGGGTTAGTAATTTGACATTTTATCATTTAGCAGACGCTCTTATCCAGAGCGACTTACAGTTAAGTGAGTGCATAATTTTTTTTTCATACTGCTCCCCCCGTGGGAATCGAACCCACAACCCTGGCGTTGCAAGCGCCACGCTCTACCAACTGAGCTACAGGAGACTACAGGAGATAAAGGAAACCCCAACATAAAGTGTCTTAATAGGGCGTTGGGCCACCACGAGCCAGAACAGCTTCAGCGCTGTTACATGTAGCTAACACTAGAGGGTGGTATAACAAGTACCTCAGCAGTCTCGTTGTTCCCAGCTCCTTCAGCCGCCGCCTCCTCCTCAATGTCCCACAGCATCTTAGGAGAGGTGGAGCCCTGAGAGAGAGAGGAGAGTTAACGCCAGACAAGGAACTCTGCTGTAAAATATTACAAGGGTAGGCAAGGCAAGAGTATCGGTTCATCTCTAAAGCTTGTTTGTTCAGAACATTGTTTATCAACACTTTCAAATTCACTCGTTTTTTCCACTGCAACACATATTTGCTACGGTTTGGAAAAAAATAAATAGACCCGTGTCCAAATGGTTATCCTCCTCCGCTTTCCCCCGTCCACCACCATCTCCTCCTCTCCGTACCTGGTCCACTAGTCCCATCTCATCTCCATAGTTGAAGACCGGTGTTCCAGGCAGAGTGAAGAGCATTAGCTGGTAGAGTCGGACCAGTTCTGGTTTCTCTACCACTGACGCCAGATGGTTCCCCCAAGTGCCTGTTAAAAAGAAAATAAAAAAAATATGTATTTTAAAGTTGTATTTTGTCATTTGATAAAACTCTAAATGGTTCTAAAGACCATTGTCTCTCTTACCTCCTAGCCCCCAGGCTAGGGAGCTTTGTTTCTGGGTAGAGACCAGGCTGTAGATGGACTGGGCTCGATGGACACCTGCAAGGGAACATCTCAAATTACACCCCATTATTTCCCAATGTAGTGGACTGCTTTTAACCAGGGCAACAAGGAGTTTGTCTTATCTATTTTTAACTGCTACCATTTTGATTTATTTGTTTATTTTTATCCTTTGTCCTTCCAATTTGGCTTTTCTATGTTTAGGACCAATATTTAGTCTAAGGTAGCACTCACTGTTTTGTGTTATATATATTTTTTAAGTGTATTAGAAATGTTCTGGTTACCTGAGTTACCATTGTTAAGGACATCAGACAGTATCAGGTCCACACCAGAGGAGTTGAGAAGTTGAGAGACAGCAGAGGAGTTGAGACCATCAACCACCCCTATTAGAGCTCTAGAGACAGAGAGACAGAGAGAGAGAGAAGAGAGAGAGAGAGAGGAGAGAGAGAGAGAGAGAGAGAGAGAAGAGAGAGAGAGAGATAGATAGAGTAGAGAGAGAGGACAGGAGGAGTATCGTATAGCGTCTCATCCTCCCCTCGCTCTAGTCTCGCTCTACTCTCTCTCTCTCCTCCTCTCTCCCCTCCTCTCCATCCTCTATCTCTCTCACCGCGTTATCTCCGCTCTCGCCTAGCATCAGCGAGCATATCGACAAGATAGACACACTAAGCATTTCTCTCTCTGCTCTCGGCGCCTCGCTGCCTCGCGCTCATCTCGCTACTCTCTGCTCCGCCGCGCAGCTCTCTCGTCGCGCTGCTCCGCTCGCTCGCGCTCTCGCTCTCTCGCATCGCGCTCCTCGCTCGCTCTCGCTCGCCTCGCCTCTCGCGCCTCGTCGCGAGCATCGTCTGACTCGCTCTCGCAGCGTCACGCGAAGCGCTAGTCCTAGGCAGCTCGCCCTACGCGCAGCGCAATGCGATCGCTAAGAAATCGAAGTATCCACTCGAAAGAAGAAGAAGAGCAGAGACGAGAGATGAGATCGAGAAATAAGTCGGATCTGAGCAGCTGAATAGCGGACGCGCGCTCAGCGCCTAGCTCTCGACGGTCTCGCCTCGACTCCAGAGGAGTATGAGATTCTAGCGCTCGAGGTCGAGAGTGAAGGAGACGAGATTGAATTATCGTATACATTCTCACTTCACGTTTAGACTTTGCTCAGACATGGACTACCTAACAGTACTTCTAAATGTCCAGGAGAGGGCGCTGTATTCCCAGACTACTAAATGTCCAGGAGAGGGCGCTGTATTCCCAACTACTAAATGTCCAGAGATGGGCGCTGTATTCCCAGACTACTAAATGTCCAGGAGAGGGCGCTGTATTCCCAGACTACTAAATGTCCAGGGAGGCGCTGTATTCCCAGACTACTAAATGTCCAGGAGAGGGCGCTGTATTCCCCAGACTACTAAATGTCCAGGAGAGGGCGCTGTATTCCCAGACTACTAAATGTCCAGGAGAGGGCGCTGTATTCCCAGACTACTAAATGTCCAGGAGAGGGCGCTGTATTCCCAGACTACTAAATGTCCAGGAGAGGGCGCTGTATTCCCAGACTACTAAATGTCCAGGAGAGGGCGCTGTATTCCCAGACTTCTAAATGTCCAGGAGAGGGCGCTGTATTCCCAGACTACTGCAATACCACCGACCACCAGAAGAATGTAGCCTCCAGGCCACTCTGCATGTGCTTCTCTGTTTCCCCCAAACTTGATTGAGCTGTGATCCAACTAAAGCCTTTCCCTCGTCTCTCTCCTGACCCCACAAATAATCAAAACAACGTGTCTTGACTAAGCTATGACCCAGTAGGAATCAAGTCCAGGGGGTGTATTCAGTAATGTCTGTCTGAATGTTCGTCTTGCCCGTCCGTCCGTCCTGCCTGTCTGTCTCTCTGTCCGTCTATCTAATTGTCTGTGTCTGTCCGTCTATCTAATTGTCTGTGTCTCTGTCCGTTTATCTGTCTGTCCGTCTATCCGTCCTGCCTATTTGACTGTCTGACTGTCCGTCTATCCGTCCTGCCTATTTGACTGTCTGACTGTCCGTCCTGCCCGTCTCTGTCTGTCTGACTGTCTGACTGTCCGTCTATCCGTCCTGCCTGTCTCTGTCTGTCTGACTGTCTGACTGTCCGTCTATCCGTCCTGCCTGTCTCTGTCTGTCTGACTGTCTGACTGTCCGTCTATCCGTCCTGCCTGTCTCTGTCTGTCTGACTGTCTCTGTCCGTCTATCCGTCCTGCCTGTCTCTGTCTGTCTGTCTGTCTGTCCGTCTATCCTCCTGCCTGTCTCTGTCTGTCTGACTGTCTGACTGTCCGTCTATCCGTCCTGCCTGTCTCTGTCTGTCTGACTGTCTGACTGTCCGTCTATCCGTCCTGCCTGTCTCTGTCTGTCTGACTGTCTGACTGTCCGTCTATCCGTCCTGCCTCTCTCTGTCTGTCTGACTGTCTGACTGTCCGTCTATCCGTCCTGCCTGTCCCTGTCTGACTGTCCGTCTATCCGTCCTGCCTGTCTCTGTCTGTCTGACTGTCCGTCTGCTGTGTGACTATTAGTTACCTCTTCTTCACGTCCACCTCTGTCCTGTTGCCCTGGACGACACCCTGGACCTTGGCCCAATCAGAAGAGTCGCAGGCAGCAGCGAGGCCGGACACCTGCACTCCGTCCACACCCATACCTAGCCAGTGTTCAGCAGCAGCCTGAAGGAATTATATTAGACACATTTCAAATACAGAGAGTTGCCTTGAACCATTTTACTACAACAGGGGCGAGAGGTTGGTTACTACTCATAAACACAGACCAGTGACACAGAGAGAGAAGAGATATATGAAGGGTATTCAAAATGGCACAGATCCCTTTCTCTCTCTCACTCACACACACACACACACTGTCTCACCCCGAGTTTGTCCAGTACTTCAGGCAGGCGGTCAGGACTGAACCAGGGGTCAGCTCCAGGGTTAGGGGTCAGGTTCAACACCACAGAGATACCTGACGGATAGAGAGAGGTAAATTAAAGAGTGCTTCAGTCAGGAGGAGATCATGAAAAGGTGGAGAGTATTTTAAGGCTTTATTCAGACCCAAGATCCATTGTGATTCTACACTATAATATTCTCTATTGTCAGCTGGATAGGATGAGCAGAGAGTCCAGACAGTATTAATGACATCAACAGTCTTCAGTCAGCCCAATGGGACAAACAGATCACTCACCCTTCTTGTGTGCCTTTTCCAGCAGGATCAGCAGGTCCTGGTCCGTTCCTACAACAGGGTTCATGGAGACAAGGTCTAGTGTGTCTGCCTGGTCCTTCTGTACAGTGTGGAGAGGCCCCAGAACCAGGCCCTTCACCTTCAACTGGTTCAGAAGACTGTCTAGTTAAACCCGCCACCCCACAACACTCGGGAGAGAAGAGAGAGAGAGAGAGAGAGAGAGAGAGAGAGAGATACAGATGAGAAATATAGAGAGAAGAGACTGAGAGAGATTAGAGATCACGGGGGGTTTTTGGGATTTCCCCCCAAAGGGTCCGGGGGGGGGGGAAAACCAAGAGAACCGAACGGGAATTTAACTTTATGGCCCAACCCCCTTTTTAAAAAATTTTCCAACCCCAAGGATTATAAAGGGGGGGTAAAAGCCTTTTTAATGGGGGGGAAAAATATAAAAAACCCCCCAAAGGGGAAGGGGCCTTTACAAACCCCTTTTTTTTTACAACCAAAAACCCGGGGTTTTTTGGGTTTAAGGGGGTTTTTGCCCGGGGTTTATTTTGGGGGTTTTTTTAAACCCCGAACCGGGGGTTTTTAATTTTAGTTTTTTTTAAAAAAAAAAGGGGGGTTTCCCCCCGAAAAAATTAAAAAAATTTTTTTTTTTATATTTTAAACATTTTATTTTTTTAAAAATTTTTAAAAAATTTTTTCCCCCATTTTTTTTTACATGGTTTTTTTTAAAAAAATTTCAAAAAAAAATTTTTTTTTTGGGGCCCAAAAAAATTAAAAAAAAAAAAATTTTAAAAAAAAAAACCCCCCCAAAAAAGGGAAAAAAAAAAGGGAAAAAAAAAATAAAGAAAAAAAAAAAAAAATTTAAAAAAAGGGAAAAAGAAATAAAGGGGAAAAAAATAAAGAAAAACAATATTTAAATTATAACTAAAAAAAGATTTTTAAAACCCTATTTTTGGGGCCCCTTTTTTTTCCCCCGGGGGTTTTTTTCCCCATTTTCCCGGTGGGGGGTTTTTTTTTCCCCCCTTCATTTCCCGGGGGGGAAAAAAAAGATTTCCCCTTTTGGTCTTCCCCCGGGGGCCCTCTCTGGTTTTTTAGTTTTTTGGGGGCCCCCCGGGTTTTTTTTTTCCCCCCCCCGGGGGGCCCCGGGGGGGTTTGGAACCCTCAAAAAAAAGGGGGAAAAAAGGTAAAAAAAGGGGGCCCCCTTTTTGGGGGGTTTTTTTGGGGACGGTTGGGGGGTCCCAAAAAAAAAAAAAAAAAATTTTTCCCCCCCGGAAACCCCCCCCCCCCCCCTTTTCCCCCCCCTTTTTTTCCTTTTTCCCAAAAAATTTTTTTACCAAAAAAAAACCCAAAAACCCCCGGGGCCCTAAAAAAGGGGGTTTCTGTTTCCCGGGGGGAAAAAAGGGGTTTTTTTAAAAAAAATCAAAATTTTTTTTTAAAGGGGGGAAAAACCCTAAAAAATTTTTAAAAAAAATGCAACCCCCTTTTTTTTTTTTTTCTTCCGAAAAAAAATTTTTTTTCCCCCAAAAAATATTTTCCCTTTTTCCCTTTTTTCCCCCCCCTTTTTCCCCCCTTTAAACTTTTTACGGGGAAAAGCCCTTTTAAAAACGGGGTACTTCTTTTTTTCCCCCCAAACCCGCCCCCTTTTGGGGTTTAAACTCAAAAATTTTTTTGGGGGGAAAATTTTCCCTTTTGGCCCCCCCCAAAAAACCCCCTTTTTTGGGGGAGTATTTTAAAATTTGACTTTTTTTTTTTTAAAAAGGGGAAAACCCACCGCCCCCCTTTTTTTTCTTTTAAAACCCATCCCCCCCACCCAAATTATTTTTTACCCCCTTTTTAAGTTTTTTTTTTTTTAAAAAAAAAAAAAGTTTTTTTTTTTCCTTCGGGGGCCCCCTCGCTTTTTAAAAATTTTGAAAAATTTTTTTTGAAAAACCCCCCAAAAATTTTTGGGTTCCCCGGGGTTCTAAAGGGGTTTTTCCTTTTACCTTTTAAAAATTTTTTTTTTCCCCCTTTTTCGGTTCGGTTTTTTTTTTCCCTTTTATTCTTAAACCCCCCCTTTTGGCGGGGGGGCAAATTTAAAACCCTTTTAAAAATTAAAACCCACAGGCCCTTTTTTTTAAAAGGGGGGCCCCAAAACTCGCTCTTTAAAAAAGGTTTCCACCCTTTTTTTTTAAAAATTTTTTTTCCCCTTTTTTTAAGGCCAGGGCCTGGTTTTCCCCCATAGCGATGGAATCTAGGCCTACCAGCGTTTTAACAACGCATCTTTCTTACAACGGACGGAGAATGTAACGTGCGGTTTTCCCCAAGACACCACGCAGAGATATCGCTGCTCTGGGGTCAGCTCTCTCCATTCAAATCTTTCCTTAACATTAGAATTATTTCCACAATACTGACTTCAGATCAGCTACCTAGAGAGAGATCGCCCTGTAATAATGCACTAGATCAAGATTTGGTCAATCATTGCACACATTAGGCTACACGTCGTGACATCGAGGCAAACATGATAGACGGCCGCCACATAGCTAAATAAAACTCAATTGAATGAACATAACATAGGCCTATGCAGCCTATACTGTAGATAGGCTATTTATCTGAATGCAGTCATCTCGGTTTTCATTTCAGACATATTTTTATCCTTCCCTTGTTTGTAACAATTGCACACAAAAAACACTTGCAACTTTGCATTTGTAGTCAACTTCATTTTGAAGTTATCAGCAGTCAGAGAGACAAATACACATCTTGATTCTATGTTTAGATCTTCTGTGTATTAAGTAGAATAAACACACCCAACTACACACTTGGCTGTTCCACCAGCGGTCTGAGGCAGTCGATAAATAACCGGAGTTTTCAAGTGCAACTTCAGTAACGATGGTTTTGGGGAAACAGCTCGGAGATTTAACGATGCTCCTACGAAGGTTCTAACGATGAACTTAGCCTTTAGATGCTTTTGGGAAACCGGGCCCTGGGCCGTCTGGAGGCATGAGATGGTCACAAGACACTCAGCCCCTGCCAAACTGGCCAAATTAGAACCACAAGGCAAACCACTTATTTGGGACCAAGCAGGCTGTTCACGTTATACTCATGTCATGACGGTTGCTAGAAGCCGCTGTTCCATCCCTTTTTTTATTTTTTTTATTTCACCTTTATTTAACCAGGTAAGCCAGTTGAGAACAAGTTCTCATTTACAACTGCGACCTGGCCAAGATAAAGATTAGGGCCTTTAATTTGACTCTCTTGTGGTGGTTGAAGACGTCCAGGTCAGAGACCTGGTAAGAGGACCCCCGGTTCCACCAGTATGATCTACTACATTACCCATAAGGATGTGTGTACGAGGTCCTGTTTTATCTTAGTAGATATTCCTGAAGCTAATGGTGTCCTATCGCCTTATCAATACCCTCACCTTTAATTCCCTTGTCTTGATTGAAGGCGCCCAGGTCAGATATCTGATAGAGAGGACCCTGATTCCACCAGTTCATCTCAGGTATGGGTTTACACCTGGGGGCCTGGACGATGATCACTATGGCCCCAGCCAGCATCCCCACCCAGCCCAGCCAGAACAGCGCCAGGAGCACCCAGCGAGTCCTCACCCACCTGGAGGGGAGAGAGAGGGGGAGGAGAGGGAGAGGGGAGAGAGAGGGTGAAATAAGTTTCAATTGTATACTGAACAAAAAATACAAACGCATCATGTAAAGTGCTGGTCCCATTTTTCATGAGCTGTGGAGTATTTCTGTCTGTAATGAAGCCCTTTTGTGGTGAAAAACTCATTCTGATTGGCAGGGCCTGGCTCCCCAGTCGGTGATCCTGTCTCCCAAGTGGGTAGGCCTATGCCCTCCCAGGCCCACCCATGGCTGTGCCCCTGCCCAGTCATGTGAAATCTATAGATTACTGCCTAATAAATTGTTGCGTTTATATTTTTGTTCAGTATACAATACACATAACATATTCAGCAATTCAAATCAGCAAATTGATTTCAAGCAACATTATGTTTAACTTAAGTAGTTAGTTGTACAGTTAAGTAGTAGCCAACAATAACCAACCCGGGTGTGCCAGCGACTTTCATGAGCTCTTCCTTCGACAGCCCGGTAAACTTAACATCCTCCTCCGGTACCTTCAGCTTCACGCTCCCATTCTTCTCAGCCCCCGGTCCGTCGCCGGTCATCGGTAACTTCTCCTGGTCCAACTCGTTCAACTCAACATCCTTCATATCGACCTCTGTGTCCTTACTCATGTTCGGGAGGGTTTTGTTTTCGCCTGTAGAAAAGAGTGAGTAGAGTGTCGACATTATTTTGGTCAAGTTCAGTTTTAATTAAATGGAAACTTTGTAGCATATCCCCCGAATGCAGGACACAAAGTAGCCTACACTTTCCCAACGTTAGTCCATTTTAAATAGGTTTTTTTCCGAGAACGAAAGGCAGTTTTTTTTTGCTTTCCTGACAACTGTTGATTTGTGAAAAGTAGACTACTCGATTCAAATCATTATTATATTGTCGTGATTTATCTTCAGGGCGGCTACCTAACTAAATCGTTTTGTTAACTAAACAAACAACTAGTTAGTTAGGTAGCTACCGAATTTTCTTAGCTAATCAGATGATGATAATCGCGCGCATATCATTAACTGTTAAAAAGTATAGATATATGTATACCTACTTCCACTCACTTGTATCTCCTCTCTCCCCTACTGTAAAATGTCTTACAGCGTCAGGGGCTCACTCCTATTTATAGGGTCGTGTCTCCGCCCACAATTTAAGGACACACCAATAAAAGCCCTGACAGTAGAGTTTACCGTTTGATTGACGTACACATCACACTTTACAACACCCTTCCGCATGATTTGGTTGGAATGTATCGAGCAAGCAACAGGTTCTGGATCTTTGAGTCCCTTTCAACCTTTTGAAATCAGAGAAAATTGTGAGAAAAACACTGCAAAGAAACTCATATGAAGTTGTGAAGCTACAAGCCAGCCAGCACCCTTTGAATCTTAGGCATTTTGTATGGACCGTGGTGATTTTAACATGACTATATTGGTGGGGCAAACTCAATAAACAAAGCTTTTTTTTATATGCTTCGAAACCAGTAACTCCACTTGCTACACGATGAATGCACTAATAACCAATACGAGAAATGAGCTTTGAGCCACACACACAAACGTTATAACATTTGGTTTATGATCAGTTAATGGCTAATTTCCCATATCTTTAGTTCTTACTGCACTGAAGACCAAGGTAGTCCAGCATACTTTTATAGAGGAAACTCTTAGCCACAGGAAGTAGGAGTGCAATAATTTTGCCAAAATTAGACTCATAAAAATTATTTCCCCAAAAGTTATATGCTACTGTCTAAATACTACACCAGAGAGCATAATTTAACTACAGAGGATCAATAGCTTCTTAAAAAATAGCTGTGGATTAAGTTTTATCACAAGCACTTAGCCTGGAAGGCTGCAATTTGGGCAACACATATGCCAGATATAGAACAGCTTGTGGCCATAGATATAATCCATAGAAGGATTTTGGAACCTCTGACCCACTTTGATTGCTAAACTCAGGAGGCCAGTCCTGACTTGAATGGGAACTGCCATCTATGGATTATATATATATATATATATATATATATATATATATATATATATATATATATATATATATATATTTCACCTTTATTTAACCAGGTAAGCCAGTTGAGAACAAGTTCTCATTTACAACTGCGACCTGGCCAAGATAAAGCAAAGCAGTGCGATAAAAACAACAACACAGAGTTACATATGGGGTAAAACAAAACGTAAAGTCAAAAATACAAACAGAAAATATATATACAGTGTTATATGGTTGGTTGTGGCTGTCAGTTTGCCTTTCACAAATGTCAAAATACTATGTGAGTAAAACGTAGGCCTACAGTTTGGAAAGCAAATGCCTACTGCTGAAAACAAATCAAAAATATATTTTATCCAGAGATAGAGATATGCGGCATGCTACGACACCAACATGCATTTATTTGTCCTTGTCAGATGGCTACTGCGTCTGCTATACAGAAATAGGTGTACATTCTATTAAATCCGTTAAAAAATTTTAAAATAAAAGGTAAGCATCATATTGTTAGATTATAGGAGTAACTCTGGTAGGCCTAAAACATTCTTTCTCACCTGAAGTTCAACTGTCGGAGTCAGTTGGGGTGATGGTGCCTGCTGTCTTCATATCATAGGTATGCAGTAGATGCTAAGCTACAGGACTGTGTTTGCTAGCACAGATTGGACTATGTTCCGGGATTCTTCTGATGGCACTGATTGAGTCCCATAAGGCGGCGCACAATTGGCCCAGCGTCGTCCGGGTTTGGCCGGTGTAGGCCGTCATTGTAAATAAGAATGTGTTCTTAACTGACTTGCCTAGTTAAATAAAGGTAAAAATAAAAAATAAAAATAAAAAATTTGAGGAGTACACCACATCAGTCACTGGCTTCATCAATAAGTGCATCGATGATGTCGTCCCCACAGTGACCGTACGTACATACCCAAACCAGAAGCCATGGATTACAGGCAAACATCCGCACTGAGCTAAAGGGTAGAGCTGCCGCTTTCAAGGAGTGGGACTCTAACCCGGACACTTATAAGAAATCCCGCTATGCCCTCCAACGTACCATCAAACAGGCAAAGCGTCAATACAGGACTAAGATTGAATCGTACTACACCGGCTCCGACGCTCGTCGGTTGTGGCAGGGCTTGCAAACTATTACAGACTACAAGGGAAGCACAGCCGCAATCTGCAATTTGCATACTGCCCCAACAGATCCACAGATGATGCAATCTCTATTGCACTCCACACTGCCCTTTCCCACCTGGACAAAAGGAACACCTATGTGACAATGCTATTAATTGACTACAGCTCAGCGTTCAACACCACAGTGAACTCAAAGCTCATCACTAAGCTAAGGACCCTGGGATTAAACACCTCCCTCTGCAACTGGATCCTGGAATTCCTGACGGGCCGCCCCCAGGTGGTAGGGGTAGGTAACAACACATCTACCACGCTGATCCTCAACACGGGGGCCCCTCAGGGGTGCGTGCTCAGTCCCCTCCTGTACTCCCTGTTCACCCATGACTGCATGGACCAGTCACGACTCCAACACCATCATTAAGTTTGTCGACGACACAACAGTGGTAGGCCTGATTACCGACAACGATGAGACAGCCTATAGGGAGGAGGTCAGAGATCTGGCCGTGTGGTGCCAAGATAACAACCTCTCCCTCAACATGATCAAGACAAAGGAGATGATTGTGGACTACAGGAAAAAGAGGACCGAGAACGCCCCCATTCTTATCGACGGGGCTGTAGTGGAGCAGGCTGAGAGCTTCAAGTTCCTTGGTGTCCATATCACCAACAAACTATCATGGTCCAAACACACCAAGACATTCGTGAAGAGGGCACGACAAAGCCTATTCCCCCTCAGGAGACTGAAAATATTTGGCATGGGTCCTCAGATCTTCAAAAAGTTATACAGCTGCACCATCGAGAGCATCCTGACTGGTTGCATCACTGCCTGGTATGGCAACTGCTCAGCCTCTGACCGCAAGGCACTACAGAGGGTAGTGCGTACGGCCCTAAAAGGAAGGCCCTAAAAATTGTCAAAGACTCCAGCCACCCTAGTCATAGACTGTTCTCTCTGCTACCGCACGGCAAGCGGTACCGGAGAGCCAATTCTAGATCCAAAAGGCTCCTTAACAGCTTCTACCTCCAAGCCATAAGACTCCTGAACGTCTAATCAAATGGCTACCCGGACTATTTGCATTGTTGCCCCCCCACCCCCTCTTTTACACTGCTGCTACTCTCTGTTTATTATCTATGCATAGTCACTTTAACTCTACCTACATGTACATATTACCTCAATTACCTCGACTAACCTGTACCCCCGCACATTGACTCTGTATCGGTACCCCCTGTATATAGTCTCGCTACTGTTATTTTACTGCTGCTCTTTAATTATTTTAAATTTTTTAGTGATCTATTTTTTACTTAACACTTATTTTTCTTAAAACTGCATTGTTGGTTAAGGGCTTGTAAGTAAGCATTTCACTGTAAAGTCTACACCTGTTGTGTTCGGCGCATGTGACAAATAACATTTGATTTGATTAGATTTTAATAGGCTAATAGCCACACCACACCAAACCTTCACAAACGTTTCTAAACTTTATTAGGGTAATATGAAAAGTAAGTTGGTGTTTATAGGGAAAATACGAGCAGGATATTATTTTGCAGCAAACATAACATTACAGTTGGAACCTAATTTGGCCAAAGAAAATGGCTCAACAGAATGAAACAAAACACAAAGCAAAACAACAGAATGGAACAAAACACAAAACAGGTTTAAACTGACAGTTTTTTAACTACTTTGCATATATGAAACAAACAGACAATCATAATATCAGTCAAAAATATACAATTCCCAGTTTATGCTACAAAACTAACTTTATAAGAGGTTTAGAAAATAGGCTCTATTTGACTCAACGTTCCATGACGTACAGTAAGACGTTGTTGGCAGAATAGATGGATGCAGTTCCATGCATGATTAATATAATTCACCAATACATTTCTTGGTGGTCCCAAATATATTGCTATCTGGTTGTAAATCACAGCTGGGCCTGGTACATTGTTTGCTGCCTCCATTCGGGATGCTTCAGTTTCAATGACTGAATATTTTAGACAAAAACTGACAAATGTAACTAAGGCCGGGAATGTCACTATAATCAAACTAGCAAAGGCAATGATCACAAGTCAGTCATAACGTGGCTAATAGGATAGTGTATCTATTTATGTAGGAAGCTAAAAACACAAAATTCTACGTTAGCTAGCTAGCTGCTAGGAGGATGTCATGTCATTGGAAGAGTGAGTGAGTGACTGACTTTTCCCCCTCATATGTTTTTTCAGTGGCTACACAGCTAGAGATGTAGTAATTTGGTTAGCTAGCAAGAAATGTGAATCGCTTTGCTAGCTAGCTACGCTGAACTTGAACAACAGTTATCCAGTTAGTATATCTCTTGCGTTTGAAATTTCACTCTGGCTATCTACTCCGATTTCAGAGCACTCTCGTCTGAGTGTGCCAGAGCGCAGAATAACTGATGAATTCACGAACGCGCTAGATATGACCGGTGTCAGTAAACGTAGACAGAAAAAATGAATAGTTAGTCACGAACGCTCTAGATAACATGTAAACAGCCTAACCAGCTCTGCTAGTAAAATTGTCAGGGTGAGGTGTTCTCTCATTTGTGTCTGGAAGTAGCTAGCTAGCAAGCTAGACAACTCTAGCCAGTTAGATTGGGTGCTTGGTTGGGACCAGCGTGCATTGGCAGGCAAGCTTCAAAAGGACGAGCAGGCTACAATTCCTCATCGTTTATCAGTGCAATTTTGACGGCCAACTAACTGGAAAAAGTTTGAGAGGGTTTATCTAATGTTCCTTCGTTAGATTTGAGGTCATCTTGCTCTGGCTAGCATTAGTTGTTGATCTTGTTGTTGTTGTTGATGTGCATAACTGAGAGAGAGAGAGACTATCTTTTCATGGTTGTTTGATCAATAGGACTGTAAAGTTCCCAAATATAAGAGGACTCCCGTGGTATTTACATATTTACAGAAATCCATTCAGGTGTAGTTTGTGGCTTTTGGCGAATGCGTTCTAATGATCCAAAGTCTCGCTGTTGCTA